TGGCGCAGGATAGAGCAGGGTTTAGGGCTGTTGTGCATAGGGTCGCTATGAGTCGGAAACGACTCGATGGCACATAACAACAACAACAACAACGTTTTATTAGAGAAAAGAGGAGGAGGAACTAAGAGCATAAAAAAATCCCCTAACTTAAAACATAATGCATGATAATTCCCAATCCTCCCTTAGTTAGCATGAAAGATTATGCCTGTGTGAGGTAGTAATGCTCAACAAACTCCATCTATTTTCCAGAAATCACTTAGGTTTGTTTTATTCCCACCAACAGTATTTGTTCAATGAATATGAAATGTGTTGAACATACTAGTTGAACTAACAGCAAGATAACATGATACTTATAAACCATTAAATCCTAGAAAAGTTAAGTGGGCTAGAAATAATCTGAGCAGAAAATCCAAAAGTCTGTCATTACTGAATCTAAAACTGTATTACACAAAATATTTAAGAAATGTCACCTCTCTTTTAAAACACTTTAACAACTGAAGTAAGTTAAAATCTTATTTTTATATCCTAGCAATAATTTTATAAAATGGAGAAAGGTAACTATTAATTTTTTTCACAAGGTTAAATTTGTGGACAAAATATAGTATTAATGAATTTTTGAGAGAAAAAAAACCCCACATTGTATTCTTTAGCAATCTGATTAGACAAACAATAAATGTTGCTGCTGCTGCTAAGTGTCATCTAGTAACCTTTGAATCAAAGAGACCCAATGAACAACAGCTCTGAACCAGGCCCTATCCTGAGCTAGTTTCACCTGTCTCTAACACCTAACCCTATTATCTCAGTTACGGATTCAATCCATTTTATCTAGAATCTTCCCCTCTTTTGCTGTTACCTCACCCTTCCAAGAATGATGTCCTTATCCATGGACTGGTCCCCTTGCACCAGGCAACATGCCCGAAGTATATGAGATGGAGCTTCAAAATCCTTGCCTCCAAGAGGCACACTGGTTTCAACCTCTCAAGGTCAAATCTGTCTGTTGTCTCTGAAACCCATGGAATTTTCAACACTCCTCTCCAGCAGAGCTCAAAGGCATAAATTCTCCTCCTGCCATCCTTGCTCTCTGATGCACAGAACGTAAAAGCAAAGATCATGGCCCGGTTCAGGCACACTTTAAGTCTCCAGACTGACACTGCACCTCTTTAGCACTCTAGAGAGGTCCCTAACAACAGATTTTCCCAATGTAATTTGTCTTTTGATTCCCAGACTGCTAATTAATACCAAGACTGTTGATTGTGAAACCAAGCAAACTGAAACTGTTAACAATCTCAATCTTTTAAGTTCTTACAGTATTTCTTAAGACCCATGTGTACAATATATAATGCTGTGCTTAAATTAAAGTGACAGGAATGATAAACTTTCACTTAAGAGGGAGTGTGTTTTCAGTAGACAATTTTCTTCTCCATGGGACACTAATTAGTCAAATGTGAGAATGGTTACCCATGGTGGACAATGTTTGGTGGAGCTCCCCGATCAAAACAAGCTTGGAAGTAGGAATGGCATCCTCTTCCATAATAGCTTGTCTCTGGAAACCCTATAAACCTGGAGAAAGGACTGAAGTTACACAGGAGTCCAGGTTTTCGTTCACAGGGTCTCTATGAGTTGCCTACAACTAGACAACAACATGGGCCTAGGAATCAAACTCTCAATGTCTGAGACATATAACTGAGAAATAGCTTCTCTATATATAATCTCACTTTAAGATAGTTATTTCTGTAATAAATTCATTATTATAAAAACTGAATTTATAAAACTATTATAGATTTAGGTAAGTAACAGGCTTTAGACATTAGAGCTTAAAGGACATATAGAACCCAGAAATAATCTTATTTAGGATAAATGGTACTGAGCATAGACATTACATCTGCTTTCTAAAACATTATTTCTATTTGTAAAAAAAGTTTGTATTGCAATACATTTAAAGAGCTGTGCTTTAATGGTGCAAATTTCATTATACTTACTAAAGTGTATCTGGAGGACCGATAATAAGGACTTCCCATCGATAAAGATCATTGTCATCTATTAAGCCTGCTGAAAAGCCTTCCACTGGATTTTTGTTGAGTTCTGTGGATAAAGAAAAATTTGATTAAAATCTTTTAAGTATATTATGTCACCCAATGAATAAATTACATTTACTTTATAAATTCTAAACTATTTAATGAATATACACTGTAAGACAAAATGTTACCCGAAGGTCAAAACATTCCCATTTCTACAACATGACTTAAGTCATAGACTTTACACAGAAGAGCCACTTCCACTGCACTCTCCTTTTACCCTGGCTTCTAGTCAGGTCCTTATCTTTCTGTGTAGTCCTACAGAATGATAAGGACCACACCCCACAGGTTCTGATTCGGGTGTTAAGAATGAACCAGAAATCAAACCAGTTCTTCTGGTAATTCTTATCCTGTGGTTTTACAGCACACGTTACGAAACAATGACAGAGTTCTTAATAAAACATTTTCACTGGAATCTGCTTACTCAACTTTCATTTATCCTAATACCTGCTTATATAACTATATGTGACAAGCCAACCCGTGTAGCCCTGAAGATATATGCCTGCAGTTAGTTGATGTTCGAGTCTAAGGAGGGGGAGTCCCCCTGCCCTACTGCCTGTGAGTAAAGACAGCCTTTCAGCCATTGATTCCACAGGAGTGGCTTAATAACAACAGCTAGTGTCTACAGAAATGACAGTGGTATTGTAAAGTTCTTCTTCTAGAAGGAATGCTCTGGCATGGCTGGAAGATAGAGATAGGAAGGGGATAGGAACGAGGATAGGATGAGGACAGTATTACAAGGTAAGAGACTAAGAGAGTGAGGTAAATAACAACCTAAAGATTGTAGACAGGGCCTAAAGACTGTACACAAATGATAGAAGTAATATTTTTTAAGTAGTTTTACAATACTTTTACTTATATTCCATGAATGGCATATATTTGAATGTACAATTTGGTAAGTACACACACACACATATCATGAAACTATCATCACTATCATGACAGTAAAATAAATACACATCATCAAAAAAATTATCAATTGTTTTAACTACTGGGTGAGCTAAGAGCTGAACGGCTTAAAAGAATAAACAGAGGCAAATCACAAGCAAATGGAAGGAGTAGTTCAAAAAGGACTTCCTAGGTATCAGAACAGGTTTGTAATTCTCACACATCCTCAAGGAGCTCAGTATAACGATGGAAGTAAATGTAATACAATTCAAGAGAGCTATAAAAGACTGAAGAAACGGATTTTCTTTTTCTTTTTTTAAGTAATCTTGTGTTATTTCAACAGTCAAAAGTGAAAATTTATTTAAATGCCAATTGCTTTTCTCAAACTTTGATAATTGTCTTTTGTTCATACAAGTCCAGTATTATTGCCTAACTTATTAAGCATTTATAAAGCATTTGTTTTAAAGCAGTAACTCACTCTATATTCACAAGGGAGCAGAAGACACAACAAAAACTAAAAGCATTTTCACTTTTAAATAGCTATTCTAACACACAAATAACAGACTAAAAATGCAGACATTAAGTTAGGAATTATACTGTAATCATTTCAATTATGCTTGCAAACATCTCAGGCATACAAGGCACTGGAAGAGAGTCAAATTACCAACTTTTAAGATCAAGCAATCAGAATATGGACAATTCTTTTTTTTACATTGAGTTATCTCATTTTCAACCTATTTCAGATGAACACTATTATAATGCACAGGCCATCTTCTCCAACACCGTGCATAACTATCTTGTGTAAAATTCTTATCCAGAAATCACCTGGCTGCATTATCCTTTTCCAAATTGGTTCTGCAGAAGTGAACAGGCTCTGAAGAAGTATGTTCAAAGCTGCACTTAAAAAATTCTCTTAAGCTTCCTACAAAGTATACTGTTGCTTTTTTCCATTTCTGTCAATATACCATAAATTCTCAAAATATTTTGTATACTTTACATGTTTTACTTTTACTAGCTTCACTACTTAATTCACACATTAATGAAACTACAATGCTGAAGAATGTCCACTATCTAAATTTTGTCAAAGTTTTTGCCCTGGATCAGATCCACATAGCTTTAACACACTCGCATTTGGGTAAACCATTCCTACCTTCTGCTCCATAAATGCTTCTTTTAAGGTCCAGTTTGGATACCATCCTCCCTCCTCCATGAGGCCATGGCTAACAATTTATCAAATAACCATCTTCTTTTGACTTCCGCTCAATTTTTATTAACCTTTGGTCTGTGCTATTATCATCTGGTTAAAGTAAGGTCATCTTTTAGCACTATAATCCAACCGTGATCTTCTATTATTTATAAGGTTTTTGAAAGCTTGTTAATTCAGAAGTACTGCTTTTTAGTCTAGAAGCTCCCCTGAGCCATGCCCATCATAGGCAGCCCTGCTGGTATCTGCAATACTGGTGGGATAGTTTCTAGTACCATAGTAACTCATACTGTAGCTATAGCACAGCAAGCTGACAGACAAGTGCCATCACCAAAAGAGGTATGTATAAAACAAACAGCATACAAATAAAAACAAACATGCATGGTAGGGTGTGTCCAAGGGTGGGGAAGCCATTCTGGGACAGAGTTTTACTAGTTGCAGAAGAACCCAGGGTATTCTGCCGGGCTAGGGACAGGTAGAAGCCTATCTAGGGATTGGTAATGGCTGGGTAACCAGCCAAGAGACTGTTATCATGAACAGTTAATGCCAATCTGAAGTGTCATAAAATGTTATGGATGTCTGAAGTGTTATGGATGACCATAACAAATTACAGGTAACACTGAGAAGAATGGGACTCTCAGAACATATAATTGTGCTCATGTGAAACCTATAATACAGACCAAGAAGCAGTTGTCCACACAGAACAAAGAACACTGTATAGTTTAAAATCAAGCAAAAATGTATATAATGGTTGTATACATTTTCCATATCTATTCATTCTCTATGAAGAACAAATAATTTAAAAACCAGATTATATAAAGATGAATGTGGAGATGAATGTGAAGAGGATCTAAAACACTTATTGCAGAAGATTTAAAAAACAACAACCCAACAACACCCAAACAAAAAAACACAAAACCCAGCCTTCAATATGGATTATAACCCAATCTTAAGAAGGAAGAAAAATCTTTATAACTGGGCCAATACACAGCAATGTGATAAAAGGAGAAAAGACTGACATTGTCAATGATTTCATTTTCCTTGGATCTACTATCAACATCCTAAGCAGCAGCACCAATCAAATGAAAAGCCTTGACAGATCAGAAAATCATCTCTAATCTTAAAGAAATAATTTTAAAGACCAAACTGTGTCTGATCTGAAAAACACAGTTTTTTCAATTGCTTCCTATGCACCTAAAAGTTGGACAATGAACAAGGATGTTGGAAGAATCAATGCCTGTGAACTGTGGTGCTGGAAAAAGAGTACTTAATGATCCACAGAATAAAACATCTGTCTTGGAGAAGTGCTACCAGGGCATCTTTTAGAGGCAAGGATGGTGAAATTTTGTCTCAAATACTTTGGGCATATTACCAGGTGGGAATACTCCCTGGAAAAAAAGACAGCATGTTGGGAAGGAAGAGATGAGCAAAGAAAAGGACAAATCTCAGAGATGAACTGACCGTAAGTATAACAAGTTTTGAGATTTACACAGTGGACAATGATGAGCCTATAAATGATTTTTAAACAATGGGATGATGTCATGTGGTTTCTATTTTCAAACCATTCATGCAGTGAGTAAAGAAAGACTTAAGACAAAGTTAAACTGAAGACAGTAAAATAAAAAAAGAAACTATTACAGTAATACTGAAAAGTGTAAAACACATAAACTTGGGAGATAAATTTGAACTTGGTATGTGGTGGTTAAAGTACTAAATAAAAAATTATGTACTATGTTTTACCATGTATAAAAGCATTTAGTAAAAAAAAAAAAAATTAAAAAAAAAAAGCATTTAGTCCCTGAATTCCCATGTTATGTACACCAAATTTATACTCAAGTCAGATCAATTAGGCTCTTCTGTCAAATGTTATCTCAGTATATAAGGTAATTTTTCTATAACTCCCCCCAAATTTTTAAAGTACATTCCGGATATTTTAAAACAGTTTGTTGTTATGTGCCCGAGTTGGACTGCCTCACGGATGACCCTCCAGTGAATTTTCAGAGGCAGTAAATTACACAGGAAGAGGCTGCTCATCCTTACCAGTAGGTCACCAGATCCCTTTAGCACATATACTAATAATACTGTTTTGATGTGCATTGGTCAGTGTGGGGAGGTAGTGTACAAACAAACCAGTTCATACTTCTGAGGAGGGACCCTTGAACTCTGCCAGGGGCCAACAGTAGCAGCTAAGCCATGTAAAGAGGAGGAGGAGGAAAAGTCAGTGGAATAAACTTTCTCTAGGCACAGTAGGGATGAGGTGGGGAAGGTCATCATCAAAGAAATTGGGGCCCACCAAAAGTTCACAGAGAGTGAAAAAGTTCCCCTAGGGTAGAAGCGGAGATTACAGAGACCATGAACAGGAAGTAGCATTTGAGTGCTGGCCCTGAGGCTGAGCTGCGATTAACCAAACAGGAGCACATCATTTCCTCCTGTGCAGATCCAGTGAGCTGGAGCGAGAGGGAAGGCTGCATCGGGATGGTTTCATAACGTCAACTAAATCAGATGTTTCTAACACTGGAACTGCCTGTATGTTTAAATCTACAAGTTTGTAACAGTGAAACCAAAAAACAAACTGGTCATTACTTGCCACTAACTAAAAAATTATTTTGAAAGCCCATTTCCCCCCTTTTTAAAAATAATTAATTTTAATAAAAATTTACAGAGACTTCGGATTTCCATTCATTGATTGTTGCACTGTTCTCCCTGCCCAGCCCTCCCGCTCCCAGTATACTTTTCTCTTTGAAAAGTAAAAGAAAAATTCTTTCATTGTTTTACAATCCCTCCCCCCAGGTCCACTTCACTATGCAGCCTTTGTTCTGGACTCCTGTCATAACAATAATACCTAATCACATATCCCTTTTAAATAGTTTTCTCCCTCATCTGTTTCAATGCAGTATACATTATTTATCCCATCT